CAATTATTAGTTTCCTCCTCATCGGTAATGTACGATATCATTTTGTATGCGATTGAGTTGAACTAATAACTGAACAGCATCGAACTCATTATGACTCATGACTAGGTTATCATTGATGTATCTCCGGTGTACAGTTACTTCAGTCATCATATTTTCAGTATATAACGTATATATATATATATATATATATATATATATATATATATATATATCTACATCAGCTAGGAAAGTTCCTAATGAGCTAATCATAGCGACGCTATCGACTTATCGAATATGTTCACCTACAAGCGTGATTTTTACTACTATTACTACTACTAATATGACTAATAATAATAATAAAACTAGTTCATTCAATAGTGTTGATCATTTAAGAAAAACAACAGGAATTACTAGTTTTCTAGTCATCAAGTAAATTAGCAGTTTGTAAGTTCCATAAAAATACCAACAAATACAAAGAATAACAGTAGTACGGAAGGGTATATCAAGACTGTAGAAAATCCAAAGTTTAAACCACTAAACAAACGATCATAGCTAGACAACGTTTGAAAACATCGAAGTACTGTACAGGAGGTGTTTTATCCGAATATTTCCTTCTTCCAAAGTGTGCATGCACACTACCACAACTGACCCCGGTAAAAGATGATGTCAAGTTCAAACGAATTATATGTATTTTATTGAAAGCGCAGACTGTTTATCAAGTAATGTATGTTATTCATTTTCATCTCTTATGCGCTTTGTAATCCAAACTGGTTATAGACTTCAAAATCACTTTTCAATCTTCTCAAAACTCTTCTTTCTGACAACAACCTTTTTCATACTACTTGTAAGCAGCCACATTGTGAGTAGCATCCACTCACTACAACAGGATCATCACGAATAGATTGAATTTATACATACATGTATGTGTCAATGGATTTCGGGTTCGATGGTTTAGTAACTGAAAGTTGACATGTAAGATTGGAGCCCTTAGGATTGATCCTAGGCTGAGTTATCAGTATACACTAGTGAAGAGTCGCGTACCAGAACAAGACAAATGTCCAGTAGTACCTGATTTTCAACAACAGTCTAGCTAAAAATCATTTCAGGATTTAAACTGTAAAAATTCTATCATCTTCACAAGCACCCCTATGATAATAATAATAATAGTAATAATCAATTACGACGAATATACAGGTGGCATTGATCGATAATGAAGCTAAGATCAAAGGTTAATGAATGGCAATAATTCACTTTCATTATGGACAACACTCCGAGTTGAATAGTGCAGTGATTATTATCATTCTCATTTGTCTTATTGTTGTTATTGTTCCACTTGAATGACAGCACATAAATTAGAGGTGAACAGTAATCAAAATAGAAACAATACAAATGACTCATTAAATTAAGTAATTTTCATTTTGTTACATGTGGTTTTTTGTTTTTCAACAGTGTGTTGGTGGTAGCAGTAGTAGTAGTGAACTGTGTGAGGGGTGGGGAGGGATTGGAGAAGAAGAAGAAGAGATAGTCAGCTTTTGTTTCAACGGTTACTTGAGTAAATCGATTTTTGTGAATAATATGAGCATAAATGTCATAGGTTAGATGAACTTCATTCATCATTATTTAAGATCATATTTTTTTTGTCTATTGTCCAAAAATGTTTGTCATTAGACGATTTCGAAATGTTTTCATTGTTTCACGTTAGTAACCGAATTGCTGTGTGCGAATAGTAACAATAGACGGAATATTTCTCCTAGTTTAGAAAAAAACGAACTTTGTGAATATGCACCTGTTACTCGAAATAGACTTTGAGTTAAGTAAAGCTTTTAAATTCGTTTTGTAATGGTTACTTCCATAGTCCAATTGTTCGCATGGACTGTAATTAATTCATCGGTCTTCTTTAGTTTATGTACATCTTAAAAAAAAAGGTTGCCTAGATAGAGCCATTAAATCATAAGGATTTGATTGGAGTTGGAAGGTAGCTAGCTGGCAGTAGAATCTAGGTTTCGTCGTAGATTTTCATGCTACCCACTACTATCCAACTCTGCTGAACGCCTTTAAGGTCACGAGAAATGTGACATCATTCAAAGCGAAGTAACAAATGTTAGGTGGCTGAAGATGTAGGGTAAGATACCGCCCTACTTAACGTTCATTTTATGTCAGTTGACACTTGTAGGCAAAGTCTTTATAAAATATAATAAAGAAACAAATGCTCTCTGGTGTATTCGAGCATGAAACATCGGCATACAGTTTTCAGCTGTAGTAAGTAGTTAAACAATTTCTTCTTCTTTTTCTTACTGCACTACATAGAAAATAACTTTCAGAAACTTAGAATTATGGGCTAACTGCTTGTTTTTACTATCAAATTTCAATTATCAATTATTTTTACTTTTATGTATCACATAGATGATGTTCTCAGCCATATATATATATATATATATATATATATATATATATATATATATATAACAAATTAAAGTGAAACACATTACAGATGAATGCGAATCATAAACGTGACATATATTAAGGAACAGTGAATAAATTTCTTTTGTATTTGTTAAATATAACTTCATCTACAGTGCTTCTGCGGTTACTGCCTGTCCCAAGCCCAGATAAAAAATTAGGTCTAAGCTTATGATTAATTAGCCCATCCGGTAGAAAACCAACGCGCTAAAAATAGCACTAACTGGAGAGAAACAATTCAAATCAGTTGTTAAATATGAAAGGGAAGTGATGAGATGATGTAACAACTAATGAGAAATATCGTGAATTGATTAAAGTTGAACATTAACAACTTTGGTTGGGTTAGGGCCCGATCGTAGCTGCTACCTTGACGTGTTGGTGGTCGGGCTTGCCTATGGTGATCACCCAACCGAGTTATATTGGCTGGAACATATGTTCCTGAAGGTTCTACCATGCCAGGCTTTTCGGTTGGAGAACGATTAGACTAAAAGCAGCGACCCTATGTCTAAGGGCGAAACTGTACTGCTGACTGCAGAGGGGTGTGACAGCAGTAAGGTGTTTCCCTCGGACAACCAGCATCTGCAGTGATGCTGCCTTCTCACAAGGAAGGAAGGAAGGGTTAGAAAAGGTCGACCCTAAGAATGTCACACCTCATCTTACCTCATGGATTTCCGTCTCCGGCAGTAAGGGTGCCCACTAAGGGCTTTTAAGAGCGGAGCTAATACTAAAAAAACCTTTCATCAAAAGGTCGGGCGTGACAACTATTGGGAATTGATTGAAGTTGGACATTAACAACTTTAGTTGGGTTAGGGTCCTGGGTTAAACTCTTGGGCGTAGATTCATCGATATCCACTGCTGAGAAGTTCCATATTAAAACGAGATGATAGTCCATTGCTTTCAAGTTTTCAATGCTGGTCTGGCTAAGATCAATTCGTAATTTCAACTATGATTATAGAAAACTGTTAGATTGACAATATTGGTTAATAGAACAAAGATAATTGTTTGTTTTATGAATACGAAGAAGGAAATAACTAACTATTAATAATAACAGTCAATCATTTAAGTGAAAATTACAATGGAGAAATAAGAACAATCAACTAGTGAATAATGTAGGAGTTAGGGACAGAAGAGGAAGAGAGAGAGAGGATAAGTTCAGGGTACAATGAACACTTGAGTAGGTTCTTCTTTTACGCAGAGATTAATTTGCGATCGGTGAATTTCCCCAATCCATAGTTGAGTTATATGCATGAGTAGTTTATGTCAACATTTATTTATTCACTGAATTCTTCATAACATACAGATATATATACACACACATACAGAGATAGACACACAAACACACTCTTTTATATTTTAAACACATAAAATCACTTACATTCTTGGTATATGCTGTGGTGTGAGCTACTTATAAGTAGTATATGACGTGAGCGTCAACGTAATGTCTGGCAGCAGAAGATGGGGGAAGATCAAGAAAGGAAGAGTTAGAACACAATGGAATTTGTATGAAACGCATGAACAGTGACATTGGATTGATGTTTTGCAACAGGAACAGTCCAGTTCGATATGATGAACTGTTATTTTGCAAATTAACGATTTACGAAATGGTTTTCCTATTTTACTGAGTAACTCTGTAATTTTCGTTTAATACAATCCGATTGTCCCACCTGTGTTCTCGTTCACGACAATGCAATATCACCAATGAATTATGATTTTAAGTGCAAGAAGCATTTAAGTATAATCTTGTCACCGGGTTTATTTATCTTTGACAATTTTTTTATTTTGAATATTTCCTTAAAGAAGTTTAGATTAGTTTATTTATTTATTAAAAGAATCTGAAAGGTTTCAATTTCAATTATCATTATCAACAAAATTTTAACATTTAACATATTCTGTTTTATTCTTGATGAGTGTTAATATAAAGCGAATCCTATCATGGTTTCAAAATGTGTAACTTAACAATTTTAACAACCCCGTAATGCAAATTACCTGTGCTCATTAGTGACTAGCTGCGTAAGGAATCTTCTCCGAATTCTAGTGGGAAGTCGTGCGTGATCAGTGAAGTTCAACCTGTTCGGGTGTAGACAGTAACTACTACCGAAGACTGTGTATGAGGTTGCACAACTCCGTGAATTGATTGAAGTTAGACATTAACATTGTTAGATACCGGCTCAAAGGGCCAGGCGTTCGCACACAAGACCGAAGGTCCGGGGTGCAAATCCTGCGGGGTACAGGAATCGTGGATGCGCACTGCTAATGAGTCCCATACCAGGACTTGACGGCCGTCCAGTGCTACCAGGTTCTCTAGTGGTGGTCTACTATCTTCAACTATTATTGAAAATTGACCAATAGTTTGATGAAATTGTTCAATGAGCATTGAAATTGAATGAATGACTGAGTGTTTGTTATTACACGGTGTTTCGTGTTTTATTTATCATTATTATTATTATTCCTTTGGTAACCAATGATTTTCCCGCTTTATTTTTGCTCCTATCCATCTTTATATAGATAGATTGTGTGTTTATGAAATCAGTAATCAATACATGGAATATTAAATTGCAACTATGAATAATAATAATAATAATAATAATAATTTATTAAATTATAACCAAGTAACAAACTCTATTCATTGTCCGACTAGAACTTTTAATCAATTAAATCATGATAACCACCCATGGAATATGTCATTGAATTTGTTATCTAGACACGAGGCAATAATACCACCATCTAGTCAATCCGCATCAATCTATTCTTCACTGAATGGTGGTGATCCAACATTAAATTCATTTGAAAATGTCAATGCAAGTAAGTGTTTCTTTTTTTTTATCTTCAACAGTTTTGGATAATAATTTTATTCCGTTGAAATGAGAAATTGATCATTGTCTGTCATACTACCATTACAAACTTGGAAGCATTGGACGGCTGTTGCGTCCTAGTATAAGACCCATCCACTGGAATGCACAATAACTTGACTTGATCAATATGAGACATTAATACCCTTGGATGTTGGCTCAGTGGTCTAGAGGTTAGGCGGTTCACATGCGACACTGAAGGTCCTGGGTTCGATTCCCGCGAGCGGGGGTTGTGGATGTTCACTACCGACGAGTCCCATGTCGGGACGAAACGACCATACAGTGCTTCCAGATCTCTGATAGTGTTCTAAAAATGATCGATTCATGATTTCAATGGAATTTTAACAATCTTCACGGAAATCATGCATCAAACTAACCATTAAAAACGGGAAAGTACTAGAAAACTGTTTTGTACATGATGTAGTTAGTTGTTCAGAAGTATATACCCATCACTCTGCAACAAGGAATCATACCCTATTGCATACAAACACTTAAATTGTTTGTGTTTAATTGATACAAATAAATAAATATAATTTTAATTTTTGTAGCTTTCATTTCCATAACTGATTTATTCATTTGTAAAAGCTGACGTACAATTCATAGTTATACCATTTTTAGTAGATATAAATTGTACATAATTAGCTATGATTTATTAGTGTATGCTCGCTTATTAAGTTTGTTGGTCATTTGAATGCAATGTTATTTTAAGAGTTGAAAAAACTGTTTCCGTGAGCAATGTTATTTCAGTGATCCACATATATATTGTACTGTGTACATAAGCTGTACAGGACAACTGAACTCTCCTGGTCCTGTGTTGGGGATGTTAGATCCTTTGGATTTATTTCATGGGACCGATCAGTTGGCCTTGAGATTACATTTCCCACTAGAAAAATCCTTGGTCGTGTGATTGGTTACTGTGTCATTTTAGTGTGCTGTTTTTGTGACTGTCTTAAGGACGTCTCTATAGAGTATAAATAAACGCAATTTGAGTGCTTGCATTCATTGTGTGCTAGTTAGGTGTTTGTAGAATACACCTCTTACTGGTACAGTTTGGTCAAAGGATCACGGTACAGTAGCCTACCTGTACGCTAGTTCATTGTTTTGTTCTCGTTATTCGACTAAGGTGAACTCGTAATAGTTTAAGCATACATACCTAGAGACAAGCTCAAAATCCTGACAGATAATAACAGTTCATGTCAATTAGATATTATAATCTTACACGTAGTGATTAGTATGTACAGTATTGTAATATCACTTGTGCATACTGAAAAGGTCAACTGTTTATTCTTTATTAAAGAAAGTTACTTATTGAAATCGAGAGTTTAACGTTGACTGATATGTAAGTTGAGTTGGAATTGTAGAATTATTGTTAACATATAATCGGTAGCTTCAATGGATGAAATCATTTTTATTTTATTACAAAACCCTAAATACCTAAACCAACTGTTTTTTTTAAGTTATTCTTTCTAGATATTTAATTCTTTGTCACAGTATGTTTTGTTTTGTCTCTGTATAGTTTATTTTCAGAGTTTTGTAACATTGAACAGTGTTTTAATTGTACAACATTTAGTTCAGTTACACAAGAACCTATTTTAGCAAAGATTTTTTTTTAATCGTAATTTAGATAATAAACGCTTTAAAATGTTTAATACGTTGAATGAAAGCTTAAAAAAAAGGATCTATCTAGTAAGAATTGGTTAATGCAAGTGTATTTTTAAATAGATAGAACTTTATCCATATAAGCGCTCTAATGTGTGTACAGCTATTTCTTAAATGAAGCGCTAGATTCAACATGTACACCATACGTCACACTCATGACAAGCATCACACACACACACAAACAAATGAAAAAAAAACTATTTAGTGTGTTAAATATCTTATCAATAAGAGTTAATTAATTATATTCATTGTCATTATAAGGTTGTAGAGATTGTTGAGTTTCATTGAAATTATGCCTATGTATTATTGAAATCAACTATTTGATGTTTGGAACAACATGATTCTCTTCATCCCCTCCCACTCTCTTTATCTCTCTCTCTCTCTTACACACACACACACATACGCAAACATAAACACCTGTGACCTTTACAATTTATCATTAAGTAAACTTATCAATCATTCTAGGTGACATGTATATACATATATAATGACTTTTTATATCTGTCTATCAGCTTTTTGGTCAGATTGGTGTGTTTTAGTGTAAACTCACACACAAACACACACATACACTCTCATTTATACACATACATGCATATATTGTACACATAGACCACTAGAAAATGATTGAACCTATTCATTGTATTTTATGATGTATTAAAATCGAGACAGAACTGGTAAGGTATTTCATTATACTTTGGGACTGATTGCTAGACGGATGTAACGGATTAAATTCAGAACCTTTAAGTTTATTGAAGAGACCACTGAATATATCGAAACCGTCATTAAGGAAGGAATGGTTCAGCAAACTGTAGTAAGATCGTTATAGCCTTACATTCAGAAAACTTGTTAACTCACTGAATTCCATTCGATAAAACTGCCATAAATCAATGAAAAAAATACCATCGACTCCCCAATAGCAGGCTACAAACTGAACACTTCTTAATTTTTTCCATTCATTTCCAGACTTGACACATAGTGAATGACATGAAATTCGTCAGGATAAAATGTATTAAAACATATATATCTAAGTCATTGAAAATATCATTTCACGATGACAAGACTATTTAAATTATCATTTAGAGTTTGTATCAAAAATAAAAGTTCATTTGTAACAAGTACTACAAACGTTTTTCTATCATATGTGAAAAATCTTTCAAAAAAAATGCAGCTGTCAGTATTTACTGTGCATATCCCAACTTTATCAGTCTTACTTGTTACAATTAATAATAATAATAATAATAATAATAATAATAATATATTTGTTCTCAAATAAGTACGTTACAAGAGTCACGCCAGTTTACAGGCTAGATCGAATTGTCACAAATGCTTTCACATTTACTGTAAAAGTTATAGCAATTAAATTAAGTATAAGAGTCAGTTTCTGATAGCATATTTACACCATGTCACTGACAGAAACAGTATAATACAGCCACATTTTCAATGGTAGAGTACAAATAAGGAAGGTGCACAATAGGTTCTTTTGGTAATTTGCCGAGATCAATAGTGAATTTGTTGGGAAAGGTCATATGGAACGCGCTTGGTACGAGCTGTGATCCAGACAGTCATGTACATAGGGTGCATGTTCCCTAGAGTCGCCAAGGATATTCCACCGTGAATGGGGTTCTGAAAAGGGAGAAAAGAGAGAGACAGAAAAAGGCAGCAGTGTGACAAGTGTATATATGTTACCAAAGCACTACTTAACCTGTCATGCTGAAGTAGTCAATACAGTGTTAAGTCAAGATAAAATTCATACTGACCACTTAAATTAAAGTAAATTATGGGAATATAAGAATATAATCCACAGATGAAGGAGTACAGCAAAAAAGAAGGAAGAGTTGTGCAGTGTCAGGTGGATAGAAGAGAAGTCGAAGTAAGAAGCTGGATTTATGTACGTTGAAATCGAAAGAGTAGAGTTTGTAAAAAGAAAACATTGATGATTAACAGTTCTCACTGTCTAACTGTTTTATTATTATTATTATTAATATTATTGTAACAGCATCAAAACTATCACAAATCACTATAATCCGGTTTAACTTTTAATCAATATAAATCAATCTCTTTTTCATTATATCATTAATGCCCAAAATAAATTTATCCTTATTTCTTTCTATGTAGGTAGCATCAAACTTCACTTATTCGTTCTTCTCTCCTTCTTCTTCCTCTTCAATTCTATAGATGATATTCAGAAAACAATTCAAGAAAAGAATAATTTAAATGAATTATCAATACAAAAATCTCATGAATATATCAATCAATCTAATAATAATAATAATCAACCAATCGATTTAACAATAAGTCATCATCATCATCATTATGAGAATCAATTCAATATTGAACATACAATGTCGTCGTCGATTCATTCAGAAATTGGACATTGTACAAAAAATGAACAATATCACAGTAGAATATGCCTTGGTAAGAAGTTATTTTATGATTATTAATATTATCATTATTATTTTAAGGTTGTGTAAAGAACCATTATGAATCAGTCAAAACAATGAACATGTAGTGTTTACTTATTACCTACTAGATCAAAATTGAATTCCAATCCAATTGTCTAAATCATGTATGTATTCATCATGTAACCAACCTAAAAGTAATCAGTCAGTTCGATGTTGGTTTAAAATTCAATCAGTTGATTGAACACTGGAATCTGTGAACTAACGAACGGTTAATTGTTTAATGCTTATGTGAAACTAGTCAAGACTATTCGATTCTGAACTATTACTTGATGAGCATTGTTAAATTATCTGAACTTAAGTAGACAAACTGAATTCTAACTAAAGTTCATTATGTATATTTTTATTTAGTTCTAACACAACTCAAAAATGTATGTATCTTATGACTTGAAGTTTAACACCAAAGTTTTAAATTGCTCTAAACGAAAACTTACTATCAGAGTTAATAAAATCATTGACTTTGGGAGTGAGTTGTAGTATTGGTAGATACAGACTTGCTAGTTCGCGAAACCAATGATTGAACACGCTGAATGATATATAGCTGAAAATCCTTTCAAAACAACTCAGATTCAATCATTCTTTGTCATGCATTACATCATGTCCGTTTTTTTCTACTACCACTAATATGGTTGTTAATGTCATTACTCTGATATTTGTCTTCCGCTGTCTCATTGATTGACTACTAATCAGTCGTCCTTGTATTAATGAAATGATCATTAGCATTGTTTTATTTAATTAATTACAAGAGATTTCAATCAGAATTCCACAATACAATACAGATGCCTCGCTAAATAAATAAATCACTATATAATGAATGATATAATAACCACCAAAGGATTTAATGTGCGAAAATTTTATTGCGGGGTTGTTGTGAAGATTGTTGTTAAGTTTTATTTGTAACCATGAATCAGTCGATCAATGTTAGACCACCATTAGAAACCTGGAAGCACTGAAAGACGGCCGTTTCGTCCTGGTATGGGTCTCATCAACGGTTAGGAGCATCCACGACTCCTGTACCCAGCAGGATTCGAACCCGGGACCTTCAGTATTGTGCGCGAACCCCCTAACCGTTGATGAGACCCATACCAGGACGAAACGGCCGTCTTTCAGTGCTTCCAGGTTTCTTAATGGTGGTCTAACATCGATTGATTGATTCATGGTTACAAGCAAGAAAATTTTCTCAATTAAATCATCAACTGAAGTTATATATTTATTTATTGATTTACTAATTAATTTACTTAGTATTATTGTCAAATATTTCATACATAATAAAATAAATAAAAGAAAAAAAGCCATTACATTATAAAGTTAGTGAAAGATTTTGATTATCAAATGAACGTCATTAAATTATGATGATTTTTTTATTGTTTTTCATTCATTGATACAATAAGAGTTAGTTTTCAGTTAGAGTTTTTGGAGATTTGTGCTTTTTTTTATACATTTGAAATCATCAATCAATCATTGTTATGTTAGACCACCATTGAGAAACCTGGAAGCACTGAAAGGCGGCCGTCAAGTCCTGGAATGGGACTCATCAGTGGCAGTGCGCATCCACGACTCCTGCTCCTCGCAGGATTCGAACTCGAGACCTTCGGTGCTGTGCGTGAACGCCTAACCATCGGGACCACTAAGCCGGCATTCAACAGTGTTAACGGCTAACTCTGATTGATCTAGGGATTTTGTGCGACCTCACCCATTTGTCTTTGGTAGTTACTGTCCACACTCGACAGGGTTGAACTGCATTGGTCACGTCTCCCCACTAGAACTCGGAGAAGATTATTGACTTATGATTACATTATTTATTGATAAGATTATCAAAATATATTCTTAAATTTTTTTGATAATATTTCAATTTAATTGATTATTTAATGATTTTAAGTCAATGTAATTAATATAAAGATAATTTTTTCAAAGAATTTATATTATATTCAAAATTAAAACTTATGAAAATTATTGAGTTTCATTGAAATCACCAATCGATCATTGTTTGGTCACCATTAGAAACCTGGAACCTCTGGACGATTGTTTCGTTCTAGTTAGACAGTAACACAGTTGAATTCCGCCTCACTGGTCTAGTGGTTAAGCATGCTCATGCGACACCAGAAAGGTCCTGGGTTCGAACCCTGCGAGTAGCAGAAGTCATGGATGCGCGCAGTTGATGAGCCCCATACTAGGACGAAACAGCCGTCCAGTGCTTAAAGGTTTCTAGAGGTGGTCTAACAATGAGTGACTCATCAGTTCAAAAATTAACTTGTGAAGAAAATAAAAGCAGTTTATTAGGTTAATAAAGTAGTTTTGAATTATAAATCCTTTAAAATTCGTTCAAGAAAATGAGCTACAAAAATTGAGATTTAAGGATCGATATCATTTACTGTTTTATGTTCTGTAACTTTCATCACATTTGATAGTGATCAGGTTATTCTTAAATATTTGTAACATATATATTTATTTTTACTAAATACTTGTATTATGCGAACGTTCCATATGCCTATCATAATTGTTACTGTGGTTGTCAGGGGGGCGTTAGCCTCGTGACTTTCAAAGAAACTCGGCTTTCACTATGAGTCGCCATAACTCCCAGGGTAGAGTTTAAATGATTCGAATTATTTTTTCTAGTGAACGTTTTTTTCAGCAAGCCGTAAACCTCATCCCCAACCCTCTTACTTTATCCTGCTGGCTTGGGACTGGAAGTAACCCTAGAATGTTTTCAAGTAGAGTTTGTATTCTCTTATTTCATAGGTCATGTGAAATATACTGTTTATCTGTTCTAAAAGTTATTTCTATTTTTTTTAAACGACTAGTTGAATTCTTCTAACTTATCTATCAAGTTCAGCACATAATTTTATCAAGCAAATGTTATTATGAAGTAAACAGAGATCTAAGCAGATTTGAACTTACTAGCAGAGGTGGATAGGGTCTAGTAGTGGAATCCAGGCGCCGCGTTTCGTCCCATTTGGGACTCTTCAGCCCGATATCCCCGTAGATCAGGGTTGAGATGTTCACTTCGTAAACAAATATTTTCACGTTCCGGATTCCATTTCAAGCCACTATCCACCTCTGTTAAAAATCCTTGTAACCTAAAAAATCTCTAACCGGGCAATTCGCACAGGATGCCCACATACGCTAAAATGAGATTAATCTATCGCATTCCTTAAACTTAACCGGAAAGATTCAAACATAAACCAATGAAAATTCGGATTTACTTCGACACTTTTATTTTATACACACAACTTTTAAAAAAAACTCATTATTCATCATAAGCAAGAGAATTACAACAATGTACTAGTATTCGCCATACTAACTTACCAATACTAATGGTTAACAGTATTTTCTACTTGTCTGAAATGAAAACATAACAATTTCATATTGAATAAATGAATTTATGAAACACTGATAAGTGATGGATAATTTTTTGTTGACGAAACCAATTTCATCAATTCAAATGGAATAAATTTTAAGAAGGCAAAATATCTGGTCACTTGGGTTGACTATAAAATTAGTGAATTAAAATTGTCGTTTATATAAAAATTTATGAAGACATCGACATCTGGAGGGAAGCACGGTATCAGCTGGACAGTTAGGACGCAGCTGGACGACCCGCGCTTCGCAGATGACTTGGCTCTTCTATCGCACACGCAACAACAAATGCAAGAGAAGACGACCAGTGTAGCAGCAGCCTCTGAAGCAGTAGGTCTCAACATACATAAAGGAAAAAGCGAAATTCTCCGATGCAACACAACATGGACCAACCAAATCACTCTTGATGGAGATGCCTTGGAGGACGTTAACACCTTTACATATCTGGGCAGCATCATCGACAACCAAGGTGGATCCGATGCAGATGTGAGGGCGCGGATCGGAAAAGCAAGGGCTGCATTTCTACAATCGAAAAATATCTGGAACTCCAAACAACTTTCAACCAAAACCAAAATCACGATTTTCAATACAAATGTCAAGACAGTTCTACTGTATGGAACGGAAACTTGGAGAACTACGAAAGGCATCATCCAGAAGATACAAGTGTTTATTAACAGTTGTCTACGCAAAATACTTCGGATTCGTTGGCCAGACACTATCAGCAACAACGTACTGTGGGAGAGAACAAACCAGATTCCAGTGGAGGAGAAAATCAGGAAGAATCGATGTAAGTGGATAAGACACACACTACGAAAACCACCTAACTGTGTCACGAGACAAGCCCTCACATGGAACCCTCAAGGTAAAAGGAAAAGAGGAAGGCCAAGGAATACACTACGCAGAGAAATAGAGAAAGATATGAGAGGAATGAACAAACATTGGACAGAACTGGAGAGGGAAGCCCAGGACAGAGTTGGTTGGAGAAAACTGGTGGGCGGCCTATGCTCCACTGGGGGTAACAGGCGTAAGTAAGTAAGTAAGTTATATAAAAATGTAGTCAGCAAGAATAGTAAAATTAATAACATTAAATAAAAGGGATGGTCCAAAAAAGCATTCGGTGATCTTGTTTAAATTCAACATGAAAAAAACAAGAAAGTTGAAGACTGTTTAAAAATCAACTTATAGATTATACATAAATAAAGAATTTAAGAGTAAGTAAAATTAAATGAAAAAGTAGCGTTGAATTGATTCATTCGCGTAGGAGACTTCTGTGGAGTATGAAACGACAAACTCACCACCAAGGATCGAATTCGCACATGAGCTCTGGACATTTAGGTTACTGAGTCGATATTCAGTAGTGTACATGTCTAATTTTCATCAGTCCATCATGACGTTGCCTGTTATTAAACAAAGTTAAATGAAAGATATTTATGCAAAATATTTGATTAATCAAAATTCAAACTTACACACCAATAGATACACTGGTTGAACAATCGTCTAAAGGTTAATTGTTCGTGGGACAAGGTTGAACTGACCTAATTTGATGAATAGTTGTAGGTTGTTGAAAGCCCACTACAGAGGAGCTCTGTTCTGTACTAG